TTTCTGATGAAGGGTCTAGGCCTGAAATGTCAGCCTCTCTGCTCCTATGATGCTGCTTGGCCTGCTGTGTTCATCCAGCCCTGCACCTTGTTGTCAGGGGCTCACTCCGGGCTGTCTTTCAAGTTGTTCCTTGAGCTGTCAACATCAATGGACTTTACTGGTGACAGCACGTTATGCCAGGGAAAGTAGAAATGAAACACAGTCGGGGACAAGGGCTGTGAAGGGGGGCAGCTCCAGATATAAGGATGGCAGTCTGCAACTCTTTCTCTTGAATATGACCGGGTAAGCCTTCCATCTTACACCAAATCTGAATTGAGCAACACAGAATAGCTGCCAGTACAATCTGCAGAGTGGAGTCCACTTGTGAGCAATGTGAGGCCCTTCAAAGGGAAATTCCACTATTCAGGCATTCATTGATTTGAACTGATACATATCTGCCATTACATTAATCTGCATGTGAAACTCATGCTTTGAGCAAAGTACAGTAGAAATCCTAGCTCAAGCAATCCTGACCATGACTTGGCTATGATTAAATTGTTATGATCATGCGAAGAAATGGTGATCATAGGTGACTTCAAAACAAAGCCCAGAGTGTATTATCTGCAATGTCTTTTTCTTCGAAAAACAGATGAGCAAAGCTCAGTGCTACCACAAAAGAAGGACCTCTTGGAGCAAGACTTGTGCCCTAAAGGGATGGCCATCCTATCTTGGTAACCAAAGTGACAGCAGCACATAATATTTATACAATCAGCTCCTTCCAAGGATCTATTGGGAAACCTGTGTGGATTTCTTAATCCTAAAAACCACAAGTGTGTCAAGGTTACTACCAAAGCAAATTTGTGCAAGATCACATCACTTTATCTCTTTCCCCCACGATGAGGCCACCGCTACAACCTGGGCAGTAAGGCTTTGCCAGCATAACTGGCTTTGCTAAAGTGCAATGCACTATAGACTTTACACACATCACATTGAGTGTGCCATATCATAATGCAGCAGAATTAATAGGAAAGGGTTCCATTTGGTCAATATCCAAGTCCTTTGGATTCATGGCCACTACATCTTAGAAACCTGCACCAAGAACATTAGAAGCTATCACGATGCCTGAAAAGCAAGAAGGTGCAGATTTATGGGAAGAAGCCAAGGGAATGATACCATGCCATTGCTCAATTAGAGAGCTAGTACAGACAATTGACTGAGTACAGATCTTCTAAATTGGAACAGTTTTGTTATTGTGTTACTATGGGCATCTCTGATATTTCTTCTGGATGATTCAGCAAGTGGAAATGCATTGCTGGGATCTAACTATTGAATTAGGCTAGGATTGGTTTTACTTAATTTATTTGCTCCAAGTTATTTACAAAAATCTAGAATACAAGTTATCTAAACTATTTTCTCTCCCCTGCAAGTGGCGTTTAACATGGCATTTCTCTTTGTAGTATAAGCTAGCATTTATGTAAAACTCAGTTATCCTATTTCTATTTCATACTCCTTGATTTATAAAACACTTGGTTAGGGTTCCATCGCAACCACTGCCACGTCAGCTTGCAACCCCAAAATTTTGATTTGTGACCCCACTGGGAGGTATGACTCACACTTTGGGAAAACCTGGTTGATAGAGTTGAAGGTACAGCTACCGCTGAATGAGTGTTTAAAACCTTGGAAGGCCACAACTGACACCATGCAGAGATGAAAGGTGGAGAGCAGGGGAAGGTTAATGCGATAGGCCACAGAGGGATTTCAAAATAAGCATGGTGGGCCAATTAATCTTAAGCATGACCAGTGTTGTAATAAAATGCTATGTGGTCAAATATCACTTGTTCAGAACCACCAGGAATATATCAAACCAGAATTAGCAAAACTACCATTCAGCTGTTACAGTACATAAATCAATTACATATCAAACTCCCTCGGTACTTTTGTACAGCTTTCAGTCTGAATCTGACTGTTATCCTGTAAACCCGTCACTAAATTTCTCTGCTGTCCCATAGAATGTTAGTTCAACACGTTAACTTCCTTCAGCACTTCATCAGATAAGTTTTCTTGGTGTAAACCTAGCAGTAAGTGTCGAGGCCTATTTAGCAGCTGAGTAAAAGGGTATTAAAGCAGGACCGAATCCTACTGATACTCAGATACAGCCTCTTTTGGCATGAGACATTAGAAAACAAACCAGAATGAGAAACATAGTTGACTTACCTCAAGAAAATGACACTGTAACTGAAGTTATCAAGACACCTTCATAACCTATAACTAGTAACAACAGATGTTGGTCTGATTGTTCAGACACTGATCACCATGATAGGCAATACCATTAACTACTTCAGGTTAGCAAATTCTTAAGATTAAGCAACATAGTGACAATGGTTTCAGCTTGTGGCCTTAATTTAGCAAGTCCTAAAATAGTCAGCCAAACATTAATTTACTTCTAGTCACTAGGGATTATCTTATGGTTCACAAAATCTAAATGCATTTTTATTTTTAAATCATAAAATTAAAAAAACAACACTTGTTAGCCTGTCCTACTCTATATTCAAAGATATCAATCAAAAATGAATATAAAAATCAATTAACAAACATCATAGAAAGTCAGGACAATAATGTTCCTGCTATCCATCTTCCCCATTGTTGGCAGAACTTTACAAATACTTCACAATAACTCAACCAACTACCAAGTACAGAAAAAAATTCAACTATCATTTAGGGAATATGCAACAAACAATTGCATCACATTTATTCTTTCCCAAAGTACAGTTTTAAACTGATGTGCCTGAAGTCAACCAACATTTGTTCTATAGTTAAAGCACTTTACAAATTTCAGTTTCAAACCAGTTCAGCTGCTTATAAAAGTTACTACAAAGCAAATCTGTACACTTTCTACAATAAATTAAAAAAACACAAATGCAGGCACAAATTCTTTTTAAAAAATTGTGTACAGGTCCCATATTAAATCACAGCAGAAAAGAAATGTAATATTAAAATACTCCTCCCAAAGTAAAAAAAAGTTACAAGTTTGTTTGAAGTGAATTCATATACAATTATACACAGGCTACAAAACCACTTAGTACAACAAGCACTCCAGCAAATCAGGTATTCTGGGCTTTAAATGCCAACTTCGTGTGTGTAATTTAAAACAAAGCTGCATTTCATAAATATCAAATCTGCACACCAGTTTCCCTTTCAACACACCTCAAAGTATTTTAGAATTATTACTTGAAATGCGGTTTAAAAGATAATGCTACAATTTGGTAAATGATTTATTCAGCACCATGAATTGAATTAAACTTAAAGCAGCGATACAGAAGGCATGGCATTCATTTAATATTGCACTAAGGAAGCAAGTTCGAGATAAAATCTTCAGCAGAAATGAGCAGGGAAAAAAGTGAAAGTGTATTAAAAACTTGTCGATTTTTCATAGATGCATTCTTTAAATTACCTATCCACAGAGAAGTATTTGAATGTAAAGTATCTATATGCTGTTTTGCATCTTTAAAATAAGCAGATGTGATATAGCATAGCATGGTTTTTGCTAGTGTAATGTAGAAGATTAAAGAAACAAAAGGAAAATCTAGTATGCTTTTTGGGTAATATGGGGATGCCTACAGTCTGATCACATGCTTTGGTTGAAATTTCCATTATAATTAGCACCAGTTCGAAATTGCTGTTTTAGGTGAGCATTTGGTTAAAACTCAAAGTGATAGAGGTATACTGGAGGGAAACTTTATACTAATAAATGAGCATGTGCTTGATTTTTAATATTATGAAACACAACCCAAATTAAAATATGACAAACTTGAGAAATAAGGTTTTGTTTGGTAAGAAATACAAAAGCTCATTTTACTGCTCTATTGCACACCATTTAAAGTTACCTTGATTTTGACCATTAACTTTTTCAGCATATTTTGCACCAAAATTACCTGCTGCATGGCACTTGGTTACATCAACAGCTTTTTCTGTTTATTTAATAAGTTACAGAACATTCAGATTATATAAAAAAAGTACCAGAAACAGATAGGAACCAATTTTGACTAACAGAATAATTTACGGTGTGCAGTAATGTACAAGTATTTACAGTTTTCTCCTGTGACCTATAAACACTATGAACAAGTTATTTCTGTCAAAAAATTATAGTGAAAAGTTTGGATGTTTACAAGAAAGATAATGATGTATGAAAAACATAATTACAGCTGGCAGTGAATCAGCAGGTGCCATAATTTCTCTAAGCACAACTACTGGAACAATGATTGAGACAATAGTGGAAAGTACATTCTTTAAGAACTGAGAACTGGTTCTGTAAAGCTTTCTTAGTTTTTAAAACTTTAAGCCAGATGAGTTGATGTCCCATGCTTAACAATTTCAATCAATGTCACTAAAGTCACTGGTTTGTTCACCTTGTACTCTGCTTCGGTGCAGCATTGCACGATCAAAAGCAATGCGAACAGATTTCCGAATGGAAGAAGTTCGACCTTCCATCATTTTTATTTTGTCTATGGTTTCATCAATACCAAGTGGAACCACTTTGGACTTTGGAAGCCACTGCCTGTGAAAGTAATTGTACATTATTTGAAAAAGAGACTTCTTTAAAAACAAAGTCATTTCAGTTGGTTAAGAAATAGATATGTAATGCTATAATGTCACAGTTGAATGACTTAGGGTAACAATGGTTAGAAAAAATATTCAAATGGATCGAAACTTGTTAATACAAATTTTCATACAGAATGTTAGTTCGAAGAAAAAGAGATGTAAATTCAGTTAATTTCTAAAGAACTACAACCTCAGACCTACATGTAGGTGCCTGGCTAGTGTTATGTGGCTTTCTGATTGAGTTAAAGGTGAGCACAAAGTTGACAGTTCTTTACAGGAAAAAAAAAATGAGCAAATGGGAGCTTAAACACCTTTAAAAGTTTTTCTTCAGGTTAAAAATAGTAGCATAGTATATCAACTATCAAAATGCAAATTAAGGAGTGATCAGGGCATTCAAAAGTGGATTTATATGCAGAGCAATAAACAATAACAGAGTTACATAATTTTGAGGTCTCACAATGCAATCACTTTCTTTTCATATCATCAGAGGATTTTAAAGAAAGTTGCTTATAGGATGTGGTCATTGCTGGCTAGGCCACTACTTATTGTTCATTTCCTAATTGCCCTCAAAAGTGGCAGTTCCTCATTGAACTGCTGCAGGTCATGCAGTGAAGGTACACCCACAGTGCTTTTAAGGATGGAGTTCCAGGACTTTGATTCAAATTAACACAACTATTGTTGTGTTGAAAGACAAGCACTCAAAGAAGTCTACTATAGTTTGAACATGTTCAAGTAGTGAAAAAATTTACACAATGGTTACTCATAATACAAAAACATTTCATACAGAGAAAGATGGAATGAAGTTAAGCTGTGGAGACAATGTTGTGGTACCCATTTAATATGGCTGAAAATGAACACTTATTCAAACAAGCTCTTTTAACTTCATCCTTGATATTTAATAAAAATAAATCTATATTACAGGCAATACTAAAGTTCAAGTCTTAATTCAAGATTCCCATAGGACTGTGCACTTACCAGCTTCGTTTGTTGTCAAAGAACAAAACGAGGTAAAGCTTCTCTCCAGCTCTCCGCTGCATTTGCTCTCCCACTTTAAGTACGTCTAGAGGGGGCACAGGTATAGGCACTCCATTGTGGCGAAAACCACTTCGAGACATCTTTGGGTCAATTATCTAATTAAAAAAGGCAAAAATGTTACTTTTTCCAAATTTTTGAAACAATACAAAACCGTTTTCAATACAATGAATCCATTTTATCAACTAGTTTTTCTTGTTTATAAAGATAAAGCACATGGAATTTTAACCCTAGCACCGAAGCAGGAAGAAGATCATGCTATCATTGTCAAAAAATCTAACACTGCTTTAAAATAAAGTTTAAATCTGGTCCTTTCAACATTGCAACTATAATAAGCGTTGATAGCAAATTCAGAGATTGATCGTTGAAACTTCAGAACTGATTTTTAGAAGTTGGTTTTCTCAGCATCACTATGTACTCCACTTGGCTAGCAAATCAAAATGTCTAAAAGAAAATCTTTTGAACCTCCATGAATATACAGTTCACAGAGTTCAATTTAAAATTACACAGAACCTCTAATTCAGTCCACTTTTGTGTGATTTGTTTAGCTTTGAATATCTCAGAATGCCCGATAGTTCTAAATGTCTTCCTAAAATGTGGTCAGCGAAAACATATCTTTGTGAACACTAAAACAGCAACTTAATATATAAAGCAACAGTAAAACTTCTGTGTTATAAAGCCATGAAAGTCAGTCCTACAGCAGTTAATGCCCTTTTGACAAACTGATATTTAATAATGTAAGCTTTTGAATTAAAAAGAAACCTCAAATTGGGGATAGGAGGAGTATCACTGGCTAGCCAAATTTACTGCCCATCCCTAATCGCACTTGCTGAGTGGCATGCTAAACCGTTGGACAGAGCTATGTGCGTGCTAGATCAGGCAAGGAAAGCAGACAATCTTATTCTTGAAAAAAAGACAATGGTGAAGCAGATTCTACTGTATTCTACAATACCTTGATAGATTCACAATTACTGAGCATGGTGTTTTATTCCAAATTTATTAATTAATTGAATTAACATAATGGAACTTGACCTTGCGACCCTGAAACATTAATCCAAGCCTCTGAATTACAAGTCCAGTAACATTACCATTATACTACCATCTTCTTTAGGCCGCTAGTACACAGTGATTTCCTAAATATGATTTGTATAATTCTAAACTATACATTATAGACTAAATGTTTCGACTGGGATTAATGCAAGTTTATCATTACCTCATGTATTATTTAAATAACATGCCACTAATACTTGTAGCTTAAAGTCTTCAATAAATTCATACCACTGTATCAAAGCATGAATTTTGCATTAAAAAATGTTTTCGTTCCGCCATCCACCCCCAACCCACCCCAAGGGCTTTTATTGACCACATGTGTTCACCTGAAAGGGTGAACAAAGAACATACTGCCAAACCTTAATGTTCCATAACTATCAAATATGAGGTGCAAATCGATTCAGCAAGCCTCCTTTCCAAGCTGTTTTTGTGTCTGACATATAAAGTTGCATGGTGTTGTGACAGGGAGATAACTATCATGAACCTAAATTCCCCCACTCTGACTTAATACATTGGAATCCATTACATAGAAGACTATAATGAGATACTGAAGTAAATATTCAGATTTATTTCGACACCTTCATCACAATTTCCACCATGAGATTTTACTCACCAATGCTGGATATGATGGATAACCACTACACTTCGCCCAAATCAATTTTAAGGGCTCCAAGGCAGAACTGGAATCTGTGGAAGTCCACATACTATTTTGGCCAACCTCTGGAAAAGGAAGTTCAGCAATAGTCAAAACATGTATTCCTTCATTAGCAACAAAAAATTGCTTCTGTAACTGTCAGATGGGGTTTGACAAAGAACCAAGTAGTTCATATGTTAGCTACTGGGTACATTTAAGTAAAAACCAATTATTTCACTAGACTCAGGAAATTACAGAAACAGAGTTTAAACAAAAGAAATAGTCACCATGGGGGAATTAGAGCCTGCTCTACAATTCATGATAATTATGGCAGATCTTGCCTTCAACTTCACTTAAATGCTGCTCTCCACATCCCTTGATTCTCGGACACCGAAGTGCGTCTATCTCAGCCTCAAATAGATGCTGCTAAACGTTATTGCCGTTTGAGTGATCTTAGTCCTAAATGATCACCTACTCACCCTGAATCTGTGCCTATTCCCAGCCAATCGAAACAACCGCTTAGCGTATACTCTGATGAGCCCCATCATAAGTATATTTTAATGAAATCACTCCTTATTCTTCAAAACTCCAGCAAACATAGGCCCAAATTACTCAGTCTCTCATCACAAGATAACTGTCTCATCGCAGTAATCAATCCAGAGAACCTTTGCTCTGGTGCACCCAATTCAAGTATATCCTTCTTTAAATATGGAGACCAAAGGTGCAGACAGTATTCCAAGGTATTGACTCACCAAAGTCTGGTAAAAGACTTCTCTATTCCTGAGCTTCAATCCAATGCAAGCTTGCATTAAAAGGCCAACATGCACCTTTGCTAATTGTAAATAACTAATACTTCTCACTTGATTTTCTCATCCAGATAATTGGAGACACTCGTTACTCTACATTGAGGGGCGCAAATGTGTCTATTTTGTTTCATTCTTTGATTTTCACCATCTATTTTGTAAGGATGGGTCAACTTTCAGACAGTAGGCAGTCAAAAACCATGTAATATTTGTCCGGCCAAAAAAGTAAAAAAACTAGCTGATCAGACATGACCAAAAATGATTTTTGATGCCTGAAAATCTTAAGTGACAAGTACTCATTTCTTAACACTAATTAATGACAATTCAATTAGCAGTTATCAATAACAAACCAAGCAAAGTTAAAGTACTAATGCAGCGATCAATTTTTAATAACTAATTTAAGGACCCATTATTCATTTCTTAACAATGTCTTCTTTGAAAAACTTAGTAAACAATCATGTTTGCTTTTAGTAATTTCAGTCTAACCATAGTCAGCATTCACGAATAATTTATTCAATATTTTGAGATATATACACAAACCAGCATTTTTACATTTTCCTGATATTACCAATATAGAGAACACATGCATGAAATCATGAACAATCATATCACAGTTTAATTATTTTGAGTTTGAAAAAGGTCTTAGCATAGCTCTAGACCATTACCTGCTGCAATTCTGGCTGCTTTGGCAAAGTTACCATTTTCAATACAAGCAATCAACTCATTTCTGTGTTCCAAGGGGTTTCTTCGTGCTAATGCTGGCTTCCCTTTGCCACACTTTGGAAGGCTTATTGTGCTAACAGAGAAGGAGAACGACAATTTGCAAATATGCTAGAGTTTGAAATGATAATATATTGAGAAAAGGTGTAATTTTTTAAATGTTTCTGTTTCTGAAATCAGTAACTACTAATGAAACATAATTAAAACTGGGGAGTCAACATGAAAAAGAATGTCAACAAGTAGAGCACCAAAATTTTAAAGAAACCTACATTTAAATTAATACATGATTGACAATTGTGATTAATTTCAAGATAATACAAGTTCTGAAGAAGTCATTTTTAACAGTTTCTCTCCATAGCTGCTGCCAGACCTGTTTTTATTTCAGACCTTCAGCATTTTGACTTTAAATTATTGCAATACAAGTTCAGTTAAGCATTCTTGCTGGAGTCTGAAAGCTATGAATTCAAGCCTTAGTCCAGGGCTTGAGCGCAAAAATCAAGGCTGATAATCCCAGTGCTGTACTCAGGGAGAGCTGCATGTTGCTTGTATTGCCAGTCAATTGATTCTTCAAATGTATTTGAGTCATTTTTTAAAAAAAAAAAAATGATTTTTCCCAACCCAGATGCTACAATAATGGTTCTAAATTTTCCTCAGACAATTGTTGCAATTTTTAAAATCCAAAAACGTCTGTTTTTATTGTTACTATTTTACTTTTCTCTTCCAGTTATTAAAATAATTCGTCACTCCCTCGGTCCTACACAGAACATCACATCAGCCTTCCAGGCCTCCATGTTACAATTGATGGTATATTTGCTCAAGAGCTGGCATAAAGTGTAATTTGTTTTTTAATCCTGAATCTTTGGAAGATTTGCCCACAAATTTATACCATCCCACAAGCAAAAACATTAATAAATGCAATGTGAAATATCCAATTTAACAACAGATTAAATTAGCTTACATCAAATAAAATACATTTTACTGAAACCTCAGCACTGAACAAATAATTCTTCTATCATCCATGAACTGTATAAAATGTTTTTTTAATTTATCTAGTAATATACTTACCTTGCATGGTTGGAAACCACACTGACACTGGTGCAAATACTTGATTCAGAAGCACAACGACGACGCTGATGATCAGTTGCATTGGTTTGTGGAGTTTCTGGTTTCTCCTCATTACCATATCCATTAGATAATGCTAGAAAAATTAAAATGCAATTATGCATGAAATTAAAATATTTAGTTCAATACCTTAAAATTTTCAATCAATCCCTATATTGAAATTTTGATTCATCACCAAGAGACCCAGAAATCTGGCAAATTAATTTGATAAAGAAATCTTGAACATTGATCTAAAATTTGGTTTCCAGGTGACACATTAGAAAATGTTTATTGATTCATACAGGATTGATTTCCTGTTAATAACCTTATTCTGTTCTTGTGCACAATAATTATTTCCATTATTCCCACGTCAATCCCTCCAATTTCTTTACATGATTTGTTACATGATTCACATGATTACTTCAGATTTGAAAAGCTTTGATTTCTTCAAATGAATTGATTTATCAATTCAATCAATAGCAGTGCCCAATTATCAACTGAAAAAGGTTCGGCAAATCAAGAAAATTGGGCAGACTAACAAGAAATACAGTTGTAGAAACTTTAAATTATTGAGCTTGACGAAGGGAAATAAGTAATAGAATTCAAGTTAACCCATATTAATATGCACAATATTGATGCTGACCTATTAATGTATAGTCAGTAAAAGTACTACTACAATGTAGCAACAATATGGGTGGCTCATTAAAACTAAATTGGACCTTGAAGAACATTCAAAGATGTTTGAGAAATTCAGAAAGCAGAAATTTGACAGAGAAATTTAGGACAGATTCTGGCCTCTGTTCTAGCGTGGTCGCTGAGCGAGACTGGAATTGCCCCATACTTACACATACTAGACCTGTAACATGCCAACAGTCTAGCATGGACAGTCTGGCACAGATTTTACAAAATTAATATATAATTTAGATATTAAATTCAGTGTATACTAATTTTCAAACAGCATCTTTGAGGTTATTTACAGTAATTATTTCATACTGCAAGTCTACTTTATAAACATGATATATAACATACAGAACAAGGTAAAATGTTGCAGATGTAGACAGTATACATGGAATTCATAGACAACAAAATGAGTTTTTTCCCTCCCCCCAGGAAGGAATTGACAGAATTTAACAAATACTGAAAAATTGCAAGCAACAACAGTGGAGAGAAGTAAAGAGTTGATGGTTCAAATTGATGATAAACAGGAGAGGTCAGTGACCTCAAACTTTTACTCTATTTCCACAGATGTAGGATGACCTGCTAATTCCAACATTGTGTTTCTAGTTCAGATTTCCAGCATCTGCAATATTTTGCATATGTATTAGACAGAGATACAGTTTGAAAGACAGCAGGTAGAAATGTTTGTTGAACTCTTTGCATGTTACTGGCCAAAACCTATAAACTGCTAATCCTTAGGGGGTTTAAGAGATATTTTTCAAGGACAAAAGGCTGCTTTTCCTATAAACAACTTTTTTATGTAGGAGTGGCATATATATATGTATAATATATATAGACACACAGTGTAACGTCATAAAATGCTTCTTGCCTTAGCTTTATATCATTTCTAATTTGATATTTTCAAATAGCGTGAATTCTTAAAAGACTTCCAGATATTTACCTAGGTCAGGTCTTTCGAGAGGCAATTTTTCACCATCTCCTTCTGAGTCACCACACAAGCTATGTGACCTCTTCCTTGGCTGTAACAGTGTCTCTAGCCTTGGAATTACCACAGATAAGAAGGTTTTTGTTCCCAGCTGCCCTTGAAGTGGTTGAGTGTCGGTATTTTTTGCTTGTTTTTGAGGATTCGCACTTTGGGGTTTTCGGAATAGAACAGAAGTATGCCTACTGGTATCAACTGACGATTCAACTACAGCAGTTTTTGAGTTATTGATGTCATCGTTACTTAGGTCATCTGTAGAATGTCCATTCATTGTCACATTGTGTAGAGAAGTGCTATTCACTTCACTGTCAAACTTTACTCTTTTGTGTAATCTACTCTGGTCAATGCTAGGTTCTACTGGTTTCAGGGTAGGTGGTTCGGATGGAGTTTCTGAAGACGGCAGAAGAGGCAAAGAATCAGATGGCTCAAGAGTAGGTGGCACTGAAGACTTTGAATCACCTGAAACAGTACATACAATAATTTACAAAACCTTTACAATAACAGCTCAAGTTGTTTAACAGTATTATTTGGGAAGAAAACTAGCTCCCTCTACTTTTCAACAAGACAAAACCTGTATCAGGTTTTTTTGGTTAAAAAGCATTCATATGTAAAACAATACCTTCACAAGATAATTATAGAAAAGGCGACTCAAGCAAACCTGGCTTGATGTTATTTAATTCGGTATAAATCTGTGGTTAATTTACCTCTCAGGTTTGAAATGCCTAAATGCAACTAAGACTTAACTCGCAGATGTTGAATTTTGGTGCATTCATGGGTACTTTTATCAGTACTCGCGTGATTGTTTTCTGTAGATCATCTGCATAAGGTAAACTATGAACAGCTCTTTTAATGGTTATATTGGTGATCTTTCTCAACCCATACAATAATGTTTCACTTTATGCATATGATAGCTTGAACAATCACACTGCCCTAACATGAGGGTTAAAAGGCAACTGCATTAAATGCATTCAATGATAGTCATGATATAACTCACCATCTTGTTCTGATTTTGACCCATCTTCAACTATGCTGTTTTCAGTCTGCATATGTTCACTCTGAGTCTTCTGCTGGCTTAACTTCAAGCGGATGTTATTAATTTCTTTTCGCAATAACTTGGCACGTCTACATCTGGCTCCACAGGATTTCATTGCACACGTCATGTCCAGCTTGTCCAGCAACTCCTTGAGCTGCACTTCCAATGACATATGCTCTCTATTTGCAGGTACTAATAATCTATCCACTACAAGGAAACAAATAATCAATTAACAAACTATTTTGAAGTCAAAAGATTTCTTATAGTCACTGTTACAGTAACCTCCATTACACACAAAATGAGGTAGCATTTCTACTTTATTTTGTGCCAAGATTCCTGTGTAATTAGTTGAATCAGTTGAAATTGAGCTGTGCTCAGAAAAACCAAAAGTTCATGGCGTCTGCAATTTTTCCCTAATTCCTTGAATATACAGCTTGTCCAAGTTAGGTCCCACCCTCAAAACAGATCACCAGCCCCTCAGAAAATTCAGATTCTGTTGGCTTTGGTAGACCCTTTAAAATTGCATCCACTTTTTTCTCCAATGCACAGGCAGTAGCAGTTGCAGGCAACAAAATATTTAATTTACTAGAAAATGTATAATGTACACCAATGAAATCATTAAATTGTTCATTTTTTAAAATCACTTGAAAGGATTTCAAAAGGTGAAGGATTGGACTATTTTGATTAATACCATCAACATCTGCTGATTAATCCATTTCAGGGTACAAAACTGCACCAGATTATCACACTTAAATACATCTGGAAGTATATTTTAATGGAGGAGGTAGAAAAAATGTTTTATTACATTCCCAGCTTTCTGTGATCAATGGAAAATTACAGATTTGTGGTAATGCAAATAGTTTTCTGAAAACTTACATTACAATATAACTAGTGTAATTTCATGTGGATTCTGAGCATTATTTCTCAATTTCAACCAAAGTAGCAACTCCACTCCATGAATTCGGCGGAAGGCTGGTATCAATACATCAATCTTAATAACTTATCCTTTCATAACTGCGCAAACTGCATATTGTTATTGCAGTAAAGTTCTATCCAAATAGGGCAATTTTGGATTTCTTGTGCTGGGATTTGGATTATAATTCTACAGACTTTTACTTTTGTCAGGACAACACAAAGAACAAACATGTCTCTGCTTTTGTGAATTAACACATTAGCATTTGGGTTTCATGATTCTTAATTACAACTAACTGTGGGGGGAGCAACCCTTCAATACAGACAAGATGCTACCCAAACAGAATTATTATGCATACTTGTTAATTATTTAAAATAAAGGACAAGAGTACAAATTACCATATCATATCTTGAAACTGTTTACCAAAACTTTTAGTTCAGGCTTACTGAAATAATTGGTTTAACAAAACAGCACAGAGATTGCACTTTGGTGTGGTTATCCAACTAATTTCACTCCAATGTTCCTTGCCTATGGTCCTATAATGTTTCCCCTTCAGGTTTTCAAACAATTTCTTCTTGGAAGTCACATTTGTTTCTGACACCCTTTCAGGCCATGCATTCCAGATTGTAACTTGTACATATGAAAAAATACCTCCTGTTGCATTTGTTTGTTTTACCAATTCCCTTAAATCTGCATCAACTGGTAGCCAGCCTTCTGCCAATAGAACCAGTGGCACAGTAGCTCAGTGGTTAGCACTGCTGCCTCACGACGCCAGGGGCCCGGGTTCGATTCCACCCTTGGGCAACTGTCTGTGTGGAATTTGCACATTCTCCCAGTGTCTGTGTGGGTTTCCTACGGGTGCTCCGGTTTCCTCCCACAGTCCAAAGATGTGCAGGGTAGGTGGATTGGCCATGTTAAATTGCCCATAGCGTTTAGGGATGTGTAGATTAGGTGGGTTATGGGGGGGGGGGGTGCTCTGAGGGTCGGTATTGAATTGTTGGGCTGAAGGGCCTGTTTCCCTACTGTAGGGGATCTAAGATCCTAAGACATACTTTCATTATTGGATGCTTGGCAAGCAAGAGGTGAAAGATCATCAGTGGCAGGAATGTGAATTGGAGGTTTAAATCAGATCAGCCATGATCTTAATAAATGGCCGTGTAGTTTCATGGAGCCATGGTAGCATACTCCTGCGCCTTGTTCATAAAAACAAACGTTTATTACCTTCAGCTTTATGTCCAAAAGAAAACAAAATCAGTTGTTAACACCCCATTGTGCAAGATTAAACACTCATATTTAACAGAGCTTGGAAAAACAAGAACACTTCCCAACTTCCTTTCAAAAGGGAAAGGCAAGTTCCTCAAATTTTTGGTTATTTTTCCAGTTGTGTGATGCAACTTCAGAAAAATACCAAGAAATGCTATTTGAGCTCTTTCATTCCTCCAGGGTTTCTGCTGCACATATACCAGTTTTAGTTGGTACTGTGTTAAAATAGGTGCGTGTGTGTAAATTAAGGCCATGCTCTGTGCTAAGAAACTCTCAGTTAAATTGAATTTTGAGAGTGGTGCTGCATTTGCTCTAAAAGTCCACCCACCAACAGCCATACTTGGCAGGATAATCTCTGCCCAAAGACTTAAATACAAAGTTGAGCTTTCTGCCACAAGATGTGGAAGAAGTGGACCACTGGGCCCATCAAATTCACTCTGACAGTCAGTTAAATCATGGCTGATCTGATTAGCTTAAACTCCACGTTCCTGCCTTGCCTCCTTAACCCTTGATCCCTTTAACTATTAAAAAAAGTCTATCTCAGCCTTGAATACACTTAACAACACAGCCTTAACAACACTTTGAGGTGAAGAATTCCATAGATTCACTATCCAGAGAATAAGTTTCTCATGTGTCTTAAATAGACAACTCCTTGCTTTGAGATTATACCCTCTGGTCCTGGACACTGACAATGGAGAACAACTTCTCTGCATCTGTCCTGTCAAGTCCCTAAGAATCTTATTATGTTTTAATAAGATTTCCTTTTATTCTTCTAAATTACAATGGGTACAGTCCCAAACTACTCAACATCTTCTCATAAGGAAATCATCCTTTACCCAGAATCAACTTAGTAAACCTTCTCTGGCCTCCAACACCAGGATGTTTCCTTACGTAAAAGGACCAAAACTACAGACAGTATTCCACGTGTGGTCTGGTTAATGCGTTGTTTATTTCTTGCAAGACATCCCTATTTTTACACTTTATTCCCTTTGAAATAACGGCCAACATTTGCCTTACCAGGCTGAACTTGGATTCACATTGACAACCCAAAAATCCCGCTATGCTGCAGCTTTCCACAGTCTTTCCCAATTTAAGTAATATTCAGCTTCCAGCCAAAGTGTATAATTTCACATTTTGCCATTGGGACTACAGTATGAGAAGGAACAGTGATATGCCACGTTGCAGTATCTGAGAGATTATCAACCAGTCATCACCTTCGTTTTACTAGAAAGTTATGATCGAAGTTCCTCTTTGAGAGGTGCAACTTTAAAAATGTGTCACTTGCTGCCAGATTCTCTCCCCAACCAGCAGCACCATACTGCCTTTCCAATTAATCAATTCTTGTCAGGCTAGGCCTCCATTAATTATAGATACAGCAGATACAATCATTAATTTGTTCCATGCCTTTCACTAGCATCACTGGGCACGTGTTTCAGCAGCTACATCTACTTCACAGCTGTTATCAGCATAAGTACAACTTCTCCGCCAGAGAAAGAAATAGTGCAGCTGGAGGAAAAAAAAACTGTGACTTTCCAGGGAACAGGATTAACTGTCATAAACCAGGAGCTATTTGCCTAAGGGTTTTAAAAAAGTAAACAGAACTATATCTATTTTGTACGTTCCATATTCAACAAAAGTTGGATAAAGTTTTTTTGCTCTTCAAATAAAAAATGTATTGTAACTGTAGATCAATGTATCCTAGAAGTAGTAATGAAAATAAAGTACCTTCTTCCCATGTCAAAGGCTTGGTGATTTCACATTTTGGTGGTTCAGGCAAATGCATTGATGTTTCAGAGTCATAGCCTATTCGGTCAGCTTCACGACGAGCCTGTCTTAATATGACACCTCCCTGATCTCTCAATCGTACAGCTGCTCGGTAAAATATTGTGTCCTTTGCATTATATTTCATACAATTATCTACAATAAGGTTAACATCAGCTTCAAACTCATCCAGATTATTATAACCATGATCTTCTATCCTTTTTCTCATTGTGGAGAAGTCCATGGGGTGTGTTATATGATCTAAATAGTCTGGAACCTGAAAATATTAAAAAAAAACTTTTGTTAATGAAGGCCTTGTCTAAAATGTGCCCAAAACAAATACTTACCAATTGCAAAAGACCTTAAATTTTTTTTTAAAAAGCAAGTAAAACTGCTTTTAGAAAACAGAGGAAACATGAAGCTCGAAATTTCTGGTTATTCTAAAAGAATTAGAACCAGGAGGACTCCTCAACAGTCTCCTACCTTGAACGCAGATAATTCAGATGGGCACTCAAGAACAAAGTTAACACTATCAACTACGTTAACGTAAATGTTGTGGGAAGTAGATACTACTCTTCCATCACCAGCATGAATGAACAGAGTCAAGGTTTTGATGATGTTTGTTTGGGTCAGAAAATTGAGTGAGGGTCCGTTGAGTGAGCAATTCTCACTAGCCTACATGCCAAATGAAAACAGTATGTTTACAGATGGAGGTACAAACATATAAATAAGGAATGGCAATTAAAGCTGCAATTGCTGCGAAGGACTATTTCTTTTCACTGAATATTAGAACGTTAATTCATAGAGAATTATTTTTCTCTTGCTTTGTGTAGAAAGTGATAAAAATTATATTTACATTTTAATTTGTTGACTGCTTAAGTAATTGATATAATTAAGAATTCAGATTCAACTTGCACCCAAAATGGCCACAGTGAAAAACGTGCTGAACCAATGCCCACCCAATGATAGTGGCAAGTAGTACAAATGATTTTCAGGCTTGCACTTGAATTTTGTATGATTGGTAAGCTGTCAGCACTACCTTGTTTGACAGCTAGTGAGAGTGCATGAGTACACGCAGTGAGGCTTGTGGTGGTTAGGAATGAAGAGTGCAAGAGTGGCAAAATTTAAAGATTTATTCATACTGCATGTTTCTATTCATGAGAATGTGACGCAAAATGTGTAACTTGTTTATGTGTTATTATGATTTATTTTGGGGTTTTGAATTTTGAACAAGTGATATATGGATTGTGTGCACCTGACAGGATTTAATTGTTAACTTCCAGGTATTTCGGTTTTAAAATCAGTCAGAGAGATATTCCAAAGGTTCCAGTCAAGATGGGCTTGGTTAAAACCCTGAAGGGGGTATCTGAAGCGAAGTAAGTTTTAGCTCATTTGTGTGAAAGCTCCAGAAAGAGGCCATCAGGCTCTCAAAACAGGGAATTAAAGCTACAGAGCAATTCAGTGCTAAAGGAAGGAAATTCCCTCTGGTGTGAAACTGTAAAGGAGTGCTTTAAGGATTAATAGGATTGTATTCTACCACGTGTTTCAAAATTTTTAAACTTGTGTAGTAGGTAAATAACTTAGTTTATCCTATTTTATTTCTTTTATAAAAAGCTTTTGTTAAACCCAAGTCTGTAACACTGCATGTTTATGTTTCTTTTAAAACCACTTCACTGAAATTTTTAAAAACGTGATCGATAAAATCAGATTTCAGCCTGGGATTGGACTTGTCCAATAATAAAATCAGCTGGGATTGTGAAAGAAATATAGCCAGAATGAAGCTGATAAGGGATCCAAAATTTTCAGAGAACATCCTGAAGATCATCATGAAGAAAATTAGTAAGGAGGCGGCTATTTCCTGCTGACAGGAGGAGATGGGTGCTGAGACAAATTTCTTAGCCACAGAGACTCAGTATATTAAGATGTATAGCATCCGGAAACACTCCTAAAGTAGGATAGTCAGCTTCCCAAACTATCTGAAAAGTATGTAGCTATTCAGGATAATGAGAGAAACCACATTAACAGCAATATTGACTGCTTAAATGGAAATAATGTAATTCTGGCTGTAACAAATTGTGGACTTTTCTAATCAAAACAAAGGAGATTCATACCTCTTTTAAACTCACTGGCTGAGCAAATATATGTGCAGTGTCCTTTTCCTGCAGCTGTTCCAAAACTGAGCGTAACATAACAGTCAAGGGTGTCAGCTGGAGCTCCATAGCAATCTGTTGGACTTTGACCTGCCAACATTTGAACATATTTAAGTCATCTATTGTTGTATCAAATCACAAAAACTAAAATCAACAGCATCCTTTAAAGTGAAACAATCCTATAAAACTGATCAGAATAAATACTAAACAATACCTCTTCACGTTTTAGTTTTTCACGTTTACGAATAAGTTCAACCAGTAAACGTGCCCTTTCTAAGTCGTGGCGTAGCCTCTGCCAGTATTTCAGCTGCTCCTTCATACTGTTTTTTTGTTCATCATCAGTCTTCTTCTCCAAAGGAGGAAAGGAAGAAGGAGACAAAGACATTAAGAATTCAGAGAAAAATTACCTGGTTAAAATTCATATTGTTACAATAGTGGATAGCAGATCCATATGAAAATTCAAACTATTTCTTGTGCGTTCTCCCTTCTTTCCCAAATATCAAATACTTCTCAAACAAAAAGTTATCAAGTTACTCAATCACTATCATATTTGATGTTGTCCCAGTAAAGTTCTTACTCTCTGATCATAGCCTTGGTATGAAAATCATTTTTCCTCCTTTAAATGCAGGAGTTACAGATTAAATAGCTTGGATGCACAATTCACCATCACAGAAAACACCATCACATCCTACCTTCACCGGCCAGAAGTAATCATTACTAAAGAATTAAACTGTATTGTAAAAATACCAACCCTTGTAGCCAGTTCTTCAAGAGCCCTTTCATCAGTATGCTGGAATTTCATTTAATTTCAAGTGGAAAATCGGATATTCTTTCCCCTCTATTATGGTCTGTAAATACGAATTGCCTTGGGAAATACTGACATACTTCTGACAACTATCTTGGTCAGCAGTCATTCCTGAGCAAACATCAGCTACCTTTAATGCTACAGATACAACTTCTGGAGTTTGCATTTCTGTAAGATACTAAAACCAACCAACAACCTTGCATGCCCGGACTTCCTACAGTGGAAACACATGGGCCAGTTTCTCAACAGTGCCTCATCTAGATCCCTTGTGCCAACTGTCAGCAACAGTTCTACATTCACTGACTGGCTTCCCATTTCGCTCCAGCTTGTCTTTGGGTTATTTACCACGTCTGTATCTCTCGCTCTGAGCCGTACCAATTCCCGGCCCAAGCTGGCCTGAGTTTCTATGTACTTTAACCCTTAGTCAGGGACCAGAATTGCTGTCTGTCTGGGTCATGCAACCCTCTGTTCCTCAGAGTCCAAATTGGAAAGGGTATCGAGTTTTTTTTCGAACCCAAGGGAGAATCACCTCATCAAGGTTTACATAAGTCACTTCAATTTTAAATTGCCATACCTTGATCAAAAGCAAGCTGCTTAAGCTGTTCAAATACATATATGTCTGGTCAGGCTGTTTCTTGAGGGTATGGAATTTTTGCTTGTACGCCTCTGGTATTAACTGGCATGAACTTAAATTGTCCCTTTTTTCTGTGTTATGTAATGGCAATGTCCATTGTTGCATGGGCCAATTTAACTGCTGTGTTAACCACTCAAAATATATGAAGGCCATGTCCACTGTTTTTCTCAAGTTTATAGATTAAATGGGCAAACTTGAATACTTCAGCCCTTAAGCTGAAGGCAGAGTATTTTTTCTTGCCAGAATTTTTTCTCCCTTCTCTGCTCAAGTTGTCTTATTTCACCACCTGTTTTGCAATGTGTTTTTCTGATGGAATACAATCTCTATGTAGTTGGCTACTGCTTTTAATTCTTAAATACACATAATAGCTCTCACTAAAATTTTGTTTCTTGTACAGAGATATTTGGCCTTAAGGCAGAAATTATAAATGTAGAAGAAAAGACATTTAATTTAACTTCAAAATACAGCATGTCAAAGCAACCACATCCTTTAAAATCATATTTCAATACTGCCTACTCTGGAATGCCAGATATCTTCATAGCTTAACCCTAGGTAGATCTAGGTCAGCGAATCAGAACAGAAAAGATAGTTCAACTTCCTAGATCAGTTACCATCTCAAATAACATGTGGTCATAATTATTCCAAAAACAACTTGTTTGACAAGTTTCAATAGTGGGATGAAATGTAATGCATCATCAATACCTGTTGTGCACTTCTCGGAGTCTGCAGATGGGACTGTAAACGTCGAAGTAGGGGTACGCCATTTCTTGATTGTCGCTTGAGTGTCCAATAAACATACAATCTCTGTATGAACTGTTTCTTTCGTGGCACTGACACCTGACTCATTATTTTGTTTAGCCTGCAAAGTTTTTAAAATAGTAATTTCAGACATTATAACAATCATTAAGACATCTTGGGAAACCAAGATTAGTGGTGGTGATGATGATGATACTTAAGATTACGTCAAATTCTCTCTGCCTTCTTTTTTAATTATTTTTAGTTATAGCATATTACCTCATGCTTTGCTCTCCAAGTAACACATTTTTTTTTACAAATGTTTATGGATTCATTAAAACTAAAAGGGAAAGATTAGTCATTTAATGATCCTTTACACTACAAATCCTTATTTTCATTAGCTAAAATAAGATACACTATGTTTAATTAACACCTGTTGTGTAAAAGTTCAAGTAGAATGATGAATGGTAATTAGTCTGGAGGTGGAATGAGGGACTGATATGTAAAAAGATGCTTTTGAGGGTTAGTTGACTTCAAAAATAATTTGAGTGTCATTGCACATCTTACATGAAACAGGCCCTTTTAGAAAAAGGCAAAATCTACAATATGCTTTATTACTATTATAAGGAACATTCTACAATATTTAACCCTTTCAGGGTCATGCAATAGAGGGAACTGCAATCAAAGTTCAAGAGTTGAAAGAAAAAGTACTCATCGGTAATGCAACGCAGATCTGTCTGTTCTACAAAAGCAAATTAAATTCACTAATGACAAAAAGAAAATCAATTAAAGTTTAAACATTATTATGACACTTCATTTAGTACACTTCACTGCTTGATCAAGTGTCATTTTCCTACAGTCAAACATGCAGAAGATTGAAGTTCACATTGGTCCACAAAACAAATCAAATATCCTTGCCATCAACTCCATGCTCTTTAAACAGCGGAGTGTCAAGCTAAATCAGAAATGTCCACAATTACAACGCTTTATTCAAGTTAAATTTCCAATACCTCTGATCTTCTCACTGTCGAAGTCTGCCTACTTCCACTTGAAAATCAACAGTCTTCTCCTTATTAGCTCTTTTGCTGCTGAAACCCCTACTGATGTATTTGTCCCTTCCAGATCTGATTAAGCCAAAGCTCCGCAAATTAGCTTTCCATTCCATGCAACATGAAACTGCAATTTGTGAGAAATTCTACTGTCTATAAACTATTCCTCAACACAATTCCCCATAACACCCAGCCCTAAACAAGATTTGGCCAATGCTCCGCATTTTAACACACGTGAAGCATCTTGATATTTTCCACATTGAAAGCATTATACAAATGCAAGTTATTATTGTATACATATTGTTCTGTTGGAGCTTGTGAAAATATCGATGATAAGACTAAACCCAAAATATTTACCCTACAGTGATCAAAGGAGTCCTTCTTGTTTAATTTTTTAAAAAATGGGCAAATGGCAGTCAAAATACACAATAACATTGAACTTTTACCTGCTCAATTGAGAAGCAAACAGATTTTGATGATGAAATCAGTCAGTAGCTAGAAGGCATATCCAGTGGATATCAAAGATCTTGAAATTAGGTATAAACATTGAATATTCGCAATATTTAAGTGTAATACTTGCATAAATCTATTTTTTAAACCACGTGAGAACATCCCAAATAACTTTAAAGTAAATTAACTACTCAAGACGTACTCATTGTTATAAATATAAGGAATTTGAGAGTTACTGACTTGGAAGGCTATCATGACAAATATACAGGACTAAGCGGATGGAGACACTAGTTCAACAGGATCATAATGACTGAAAGCAAGTTTTAATCATCCACGTATTACCAAAATACAACTCAATCACTTTCCAGTAGCACTGCGAATGGCTAGTCATACACATAAGAAAAATCTTTGTCTGAATCCTAATCTTTGCCGAGGTGGTTTCTCAGCCACTGTATCAATACAGATATTATGATCGTAATCTCTGGTTTGAGGGGAAAAAACTAGCCAAAATTCTTTTCAAAGGTTTTATTAATGTGAAAATTCAAAGGAGAGGATCAGTTTAAGACAGTATGACAATATTCTCATTGACCAAGTTGACTGACAATCTGCCCTGCCCTTTAGCTGAAGTATTGGCAGGATGAATGCCATCTGCAAAACTGTGCTGCAAATACATAAATGTGTCCAGGTGAAAAAAAATGAGCACAAAATTCTTTTTAAAGAAATGCAAATAAATAAAAGCATGGAACAAAAGCAGAATATTTTAGAACCCAAAAGGCAAACAGAAAAAGATAATAGTTATGATTTAGGGTCGATATTTTATAAGTTTCAGGTCAATGTCCTTTTGCTCAACCAGAAACATTAACTCAGTTTCTCTCTCCAAAAATCCTGTTAGAGCCAGAGTTTCCCATGTTTACTGTTTTATTAAAGCACATGGAAATCCAGGGGAACTTTCTCCTGTGTTGTGGCAAAATAGTGCAACTCTTACCAAACTTTAAAAAAAACTTAATTAAACTTTTTATCATTTTATGTATGCTCTTTACACATATTGAACAATAAAAGCTTTGAAATATTATTGTTAATTAAGTATTGTAGGGTAAGAAGACTGCTTCAGTGTTTGCCATTCAACTAATTTTGTTGCCCATTACAAATACCAATCTACCCCACCTGTAAAATTTATTTTGTTGAGATAAATACAGTAGGCACTCAGCACTCAATTTTATCATCGCAAAGTTAAATGCTCAAATAATCCTCAGTAAAGCTTTTCTTCCATGAACATAAAAGATTGTCGCAAAAAAATTTTAAAAAGTAACAAACTGGACTTAAAAAAAAACTAAGTAGTTGAATGTTATTTATTGTTGACAGTGTCATGACCCTAATGAGATGAGGAAAACAACACCACATCTGTATTGTCCGGCGGACATAAAAGATGTCTCAACACTATTTGACAGAGATTAGAAAGAGTTCTTCCCAGTGCACAAACTAGCATCTGTCATTCAAGCAATACCTAAAACAGATCATCTATTCTTTACCCCATTGCCGTCTGTGGAACCTTGTGTACAGCTGTCCGTTCTTACATTAGAACACTGACAACAATTTAGCTGACAATGAAGTACTTTGGAAAGTGCTGAGGTTGTGATTCGGGGTTTAAACACAAATCAATTTTATACAAAAAAATTAAAGAGGGAAAGAAAAGGAAAAGTCCTGTTAGTCACTTACTAAAGCAGAAAAAGCAAGAAAAAAAATAAGGATCAGCAGTTATGAGGGCTGGAATGTCCTGGGCCCCACTTATATAGAAGACAACATTTATCCCTGTTTCTATGTCAGTCTCAGCTACAGGAACTTCTGACCAAATTTGAGAAGAATAAGAAAATTGCACCTAGGTAGCTGATACAATCCACAACATTCTAGATAAACGCACGGTCCTTCCTAGAGGCTTTTCCTTGCCAGGTTAATATTATAAAGCTGAAAGAATTTTTTTTTAAAATTAGAAGCATTTTCCATTTCACCAAGGCAGCTTCAAGCCAATCTTGATCAACAACCTGCTCTAAAAATCTCTACTCACATCTTGATAGCAGTGAGAAATTGTATTACAGTGGTTGAATCAATCCATACTATTACAAAAAAATAATTAGTACGAAGTAAAGCAACACAACATGCTAAACAAACACGGAAGGCTGGAAAAACTCAGCAGGTCTGGCGATGTGTGTGGATATAGAAACATGAGCTGACGTTGAGTCCAGTGTGGCTTTTCTGAAGTCTCTAGTATTGCGTGTTTGTTTCAGATTTCCAGCATCTGCAGTATTTTGCTTTTATACAACATGTTCAAATGAATTTGCCCCAACTCCCAACATTAACACATTGTCTAAACAATTCCAGAGCCTGTTGGCTTTTGAGACATATTACGGAGAGCCAAACAGACTAAATGTAGAAAAAAAACATTTCAAACGTTCACCTTTATGAGCAGAGATAACCGACAGAAATCAGGATAAAAGTTAGTCAGAAGGGACGCACCACACCTGCCTTTATTGACCCGCTCAACTTTATATTATTAACAGAATGAAAATTAAGTCATTGAAACATACCTTATGCAGATTAAACACAACATACGTACAGAAAGAGTGCTGCGGAAGTATATTTAAAATGTGACTAAGGTGCAGTCAAAAACAAAGAAGTTACAAATGGTTTCAAGAGAAATAGATGGGAACTGGAGATATTTGTTATTGGGGCAAGTTACATTTAATGCCTCAGGGACCCGAAAGTTATAGGGAGTATAGGAGTTGGGAGGTCATGTTGCGGCTGTACAGGACATTAGTTAGGCCACTTTTGGAATACCATGTGCAATTCTGGTCTCCCTGCTTTGGAAGAACGTTGTGAAACTTGAAAGGGTTCAGAAAAGACTTAAGGATGCTGCCAGGGTTGGAGCTATAGGGAGAGGCTGAACAGACTGGGGCTTATTTTCCTTGAAGTGTTGGAGGCTGAGGGGTAACCTTATAGGAGGTTTAGAAAATCATGAGGGGCACAGGAAGGATAAATAGACAATGTCTTTTCCTGTGTTGGGGGTAACCAAAACTAGGGGGCATAGCTTTAAGGTGAGAGAGGAAAGATTTAAAAGGGACCAAAAGGGCAACTTTTCACACAGAGGGTGGTGCATATACGGAATGAGCTGCTAGAGGGAGTGGTGCAGGCTGGTACAATTACAACATTTAAAAGGCATCTGGATGGGTATATGAATAGGGAGGACTAAAAAGGGATATGTGCCAAATGCTGGCAAATGGGACTAGATTTATTTAGGATATCTGGTCAGCATGGACGAGTTGGACTGAAGGGTCTGTTTCCGTGCTATACATCTCTACGACTCTATGACATTCAAACTATTGTCCTAAGTATATGAGAGAAATTCCTTGGGGTGGAGAGAGGGTGGGTACCGTTCCATTCTTATGCTATCATTATGGCAAAACATAGCACAAAATAGTCATGAAAGGATCAGCTGGATTTCTGTATCTCCAAAAAAGTGCTACAACATGTCAGAATCGTACAGCAACTTACATTTTACACAATACTTAAAATTTAAACAAGAGGCTTCAGATGTGCATATTAAATTTAAAAAGGTGCCAAATCAAAGAAGATATTAAAAAGGTGACCAAAGGCTAAACAAAAAAGATGAAGATTAATGCAGAACATGAAATGAGCTGGAAGATTGAGAAGTGGAGGGACTTCTAAAAGGTTAGATCTAAGCAGATGAAGACATGGTGAGACATGGAGAGAAATGTTGCACTGGAGATGGCTACAGAAATGGGAATGGGTAGAGGGATGCTGAAGGTATCTTCTTTGGTCTCATGCTCACCGTTGTTTAGCTATGCCTTTATGACATCCAATTCTGAATAATCTGTAATATTAGAAGTGAAAAGTAAAAACTCGCTTGCTATTTTCATTGCACTCTTCACCTTGTTAAACCAGCCAACTCCTTTTCTCAACTCACCAACAAAATTGGAGCAGTGACTGTGCTACACAGCAAAAACAATAGCACGCTTCATTTACATTACAGGAATAACAGGTGGAGTTTGATTTTGATCAAAACTTCATCCATATCACATTTTGACTGATCTGCATGGATTTCCGCTACACCAAAGCTTCAGTTTAAAAATTCTTAATGAATTTAATCTCTTAAAGGCATCAGCCTCTGCAACTCTGTAAACTCCTCCAATCATGCAAGTTTCTTTAAACTTTGCATTCCTCCCAACTCGATCTCTTCGGCATTTCTACTACTGCATCACATACTGGCAGACATGCTATCAACCAGTGACTGCAAGATTTGAAATGCTGTCCACCAGTAGCTCCATCCTTAGAACCCATATCTTTGAAGAAGCTTTTGGTCACCTGCCTTAATGTCTTTCCTCAATTTAGTATCAAATTTTGTCTGACTACATTCTTGTTAAGAACCTTGGGACATTTAATATAATTGCTGTATGTGTTCAAGTATTATAATTGGAAATTTACCTGAAAGGAGAAAGCTTAAGGAGTGTGCCATTTAACCAAGTGTTAAGTTTAGCTAAAGTTTACTTGGATATTTTTTAAAAATGTTAATTTGTTGATAGCACAAAGTTTCATGAGCAGGGTTTGTTCAGTAAAGATACCACAGATTGTTCTAAAGTGTAAACAAGGATGGTAACACTTCACATTGATTCAGGAGTGTTTCTCCCGGGTCAAACAGCCCAGATCCACTATTGTCAGCTAGTATGTAATATTTCAGAGCAAAGTTGCCTTTGATTTAGACTCTTAAATCACACATTCAGAGGGGAGTTCACTTTCAGCTGCCAAGCGAAATATATATAGAAAGTCAAGGCTATCGGTATTGTGGTTGAGGACAGCAAGATTATAATAGAGGAACTTAATTATTTTTCTAGAAGTGATTAGTGAATTGCCAAGTGTATTGGGTAGAGAGTGATTGCTTTTGAAATAATATTACAGAATTAGTTAATCAGCAGACCAAAAAGGGTTGAATGTGATTTCAGGTTCCCAACTTCTTTGTCTTGACGGTGGATAACAGAAAAAAAATAAAAGACATAGAAACAATTATTTAGATAGGCATTACACTTTTTTTAATTTTCATGAGATCAAACAGGTTTATGAAGTCACTCACCTATCAGGCTGAATGCATGGGACAGATACAACGGGCACAGCAGTACATTTTTCAACTAAGAGTTTCCTAGCCTTCTTGGTCTTCTGTCTTGCCTTACATTTTGCCTTAGTTGCCTTGTTAGGTGAACTTTTTCTACATATGCCATTTTTCACTTCAGCTGGCTCATAAATGTTTAATGGCCTTCTCACACACCCAGGAGGTGTGTGCACAGCACAGAAAGCAGTCTTTTTCACATTGAATGTTGTTGTTCCATTGGATGCAGTTTCTTTAACAGGCTCCATTTTCATGTACAGACCCGCTTGTTGAGCGCAAGTTACATGGAATGCTGTATAGCAATTTGCCTTATGGCACTGGATGCAAGCACCCAGCCCTTTCTGTTTGCAGAGGTAGCATGTCAATTTCCACCTGGCTGCTGGAATGTTCTTGACACCATCAATAGGCTCTATGAATACAGTGTTAGCAAATCCAACTTCAGGAACCCACAGTGCACATACAACGTGTCCCCACTGACCATCATCTGTCTTCTTGAAAGCACCCCCCTTATTTGGGCACAAGATACAATCAACAGATCGAGACGGAGATTGCAAACAACGACGGCACAACCACTGTCCTTCAGGTATATAAGGAACCCCATAGCATTCCTGATGCACTGCTAAGTTACACATGTCACAAAATAATATTACATTACTGTTTTGACATTCTCCATCCATGCAAATACAACAAACAGCATCTTCATCAATTAATGACTGAGGATCACCTTGATTAGAATTTTCAAAGTAAGATTCCTTCTCCAGTTTATCCATTAGGAACTCAAATACATTCTGTGAAACTGCACTCAAACCATCACTTTTGCGCCTTTCATTAATCATTTCCAACCATGCATAATCTTCCTCATCCATATCATACTCAACTTCATTATTGAGCTCCTCTGGGGATTTTTCGATGAGCCTGTAATAAGATGAAGGCCGACGAGGAGCTGAAGGTGGTTCATAATCTACTATTCTAAATCTAGGTTCCGGCAATGCATTCACCTGTGTTGGAGGTCCATGTTTACTCTGAATAGTGGCTTCCTTCTTTTTCACTTTATTGGACTTGTATCTTTTGGTTTTTATGAAAACAGGTGGGCGTTCACTATTTTCCTTGTTGCTATTACATTCAACAATTTCTTGGGCCGTTAAGTCATCCTCAGAAATTATTTCCAAAGGATCATAAATACTGATTCTGTGCAGCCGACCATCAATTTCCATTTCAACCATTCGCTGTGCTTGAGCATATGTCAGCATTTCACGACTAGGTGAATGTTTCAGACTGCAAGGTGAAGCTGGACGCCTTGCTGACCCTCGGTGGCACCTTCCCTTCCTTCTCATTGTTAACAATGAAGTCTGCTGAAGAAAAACGATCAGAGTCACAAACAAGTATAGCCATGGTCAAAATTACAAAACATTATAAAGTTAACCAGGAGTCAGAATTAATTCATTCTAAGAACACCTTTCCATAACTGCCCCCATTTCAAATTTTTTCTCAACGCCCCCAATCTCATGGCATAATAAGCCTGTGATTAGGTTACTTACAACCATTCTCTATTCTATAGTTAACATTTCCAAATTGATGACAGACCTTTTATTCCTAAATTTCTTTCCAAAATTTTTTCATGAACTTGAAAACCTGGATTGCCAATAGGCTTCCATCTAGCCTTTCCTGTTCCTATGAACATAATGCCAGTATTTTATTCATACAATAGTTGCTACAATCCTAATTGAGATTGCAACACACACTACAGTTTTAATGCTATATGAACAGGTACCCAAACTTTTGCAGCAATTCTATCTCGCCTCACCAAAGGTTTGCTGGTTTGTGATGCACAGGGATGCCAACAGTGCAGGCTCAATTTTTGCACCAGCAGAAGTTACCACGACTGACCCTTTTTAAACCTCTCCCCTTTAAGTGGGGGCAGACTTATGGTTTAGTAAGACTGTGGTGACTTTACCTTTTAAATGCCTAAATAATGGGTTTAGCTACCTGTAAATTCTGATGTTCGAACAATTCATATATATTCAGTAAGTTTTTAAATTTCAAAGCAGATAATACAACATTGCTTTTTAAGTTGTGTCATACTTATTTTAAAATTCAATTCCTGTAGAAATTTATACTATGGCGAAAATATGTAATAAAGATATTCAGTATTTCCTCAAAATTTGTAGCTGATCGACCAAACAAATGCAGAGTTTGAATGAAGATTGGATGATTTGTGCATTGATAACGGAAGTTGGTAATTTACAATGTAACTTCCTAAATTACATAATTCCTTGCCAATTTTGATCACCACCACCTTTTCTGAAAAGGTTAACTCGTGCTAGAACCACAAGCAACAGTATGTACTAACTTGGCCGGTCTTACCAACCAATATGCATGTACTTCCCAGTCGGGATCACTGGATAGTGTATGAGAGTGAAAGCCTCATTAACTTCCCTCTTCCTAGGCACAGGTGTAGGCATTCCAGCTTGCTAAATTACTGTCCAAACTGAGATGAATTGATTTAGAGCCAGAATTAAAATTGGAAGTCTCTGATTAGTATATAATTTGGATGAACCACTGGCTATTTTTATCTATATGACATTACGCTAAATATATTTATGGGAATTACTATCAGAACTGACGTTCAGTTGTAATCTCAACAGATCACACAAGCAGAATTGAGACATTTTAATATTTATTCTAGTGTTTCTAATTTGAACCAGTAGCATGTGGATTTTGGCCTGTGCATATTAGAGAGTTTAATGGTTAGCTTATCAGTATTTCTGAAACCTTGATTTTTTTTTAAAAATCAAAGACGGAAACTTCCTGTAGTGATGACTTTAACAAGTAAATAGACTAAACATTGAGAAGCATTAGCTGGCTTTCAGTTTAGAAGGATCAGGAACTTTTTTTTGTTTAGGGGAAAAACCCACAGTGTGGAAACCTTTGTTTTTCAGTTCGCAAAGGTTCTGGAGGAAGTCAGATATGTGAAACACTTTCTCCTGGAGAAAGGAGATAGTTTAGAACTGTTAACAAATAGATAACCTTAGTGTATGGATTTAAGTTTGAAAGTTCCAGACCATAAGTGTTTGGTTAGAACTCTGAAAGGATTATTTTAAGCTGAGATGGTCTAAGCTCAGTTGTGAGACTAATCAAGGAAGAAGCTTCCAAACTCCCAAGACTGAAAATTGAAAGGAGCAGTTAAGTTAAACTTTCAGATGTGACAGACAAGTGAACTCTCTCTGGTATTTGAATAATGCAATGTGATGGTATTAAATTGATGGGATTGCATATTTACAAGTTTCAAAATCATTCAAATTACACCATATGTAACTAGCTTAATATATCCTTTATCTTTTCTATTGCGTAATAAACTTTTATTGTTAAAACCAAACTGGAGGGATTGCCTCCTTGTGTTTCAGTGAAAGGTCACTTTGCATATATGAGGGAATACACCATTTTACGATCATATGACATCCCCCATTCAATAACCAGGCTTCAAAAAATACAAAAATATACTTATAACTCAAGAGGATAAGCAGACCACCTACTTAAAATGTTCACTAAGTGCTTTTCTATACATCAGCTAAGAGTCATGGTGAACTGCCTCTGTTTTGAGGAAATGGAAAGTTCACACTATTTAATAAAGATGGCCCAAATCAATTCAAAGCAAAGTATATCGTAACTTTGCAATCATCAAGAGAGTTTTGTGCATGGGAATCCAATAGTTTAAGAGAATTTGGGAAGATCACATGCTCGGTAAGCTAATTTTTGATTACTTTAAAATATCTTTAGTTTGGAGCTAAAATTGGATCTAGAAAGGTGATGACAGACCATCTTTTTCAGGCTACGTCGGAACCTGCTGACTCCACTCAGATTTTTCTTGGCTGAAATAATGAGAGCAGTTTTACTGCCCATTTCCATTGCAAGTGAACAGCATTACTAGCAAAACACAAGCTGTAAGCAACCAGAGCTGTAATGCATTTAGCAACACCAAGACAGAGTACATTTCACAACTATTCCAGCAGCATCCAGCTTATCCACTCCACCACCTCTCTCTGTGTTTCCATAAGTGTGTTGCAAAACTCATGAATGCTATCCAGACATCAATCTCAACTTCACAAATAAGAAAACTGAAACTAACATCAATGTTTCCCCCACTATAATCTTTGCATCCTTGTCACCAATTCAAACATCGACCTGTCTCAGTCGGAATTTAAGCCGTTTCCAACTTCAACATCCTCGTCAATATTCCAATTTCATTCCTAGTCCAAAACAACTGCCTGTTTCTACCTCTAGCATTATATTCATCTAATTTTTTTACGTGACTGCAGCATGAAACCTTCATTATGCTAATCACATAAGCAAAGTGCAAATGAAATAGATTGCAAATACTGGAACTTTAGATTGGCTGATGTTGTGGCGAGGGAGTCAACCAGTAGAACACTGGAATATTCAGGTCTACAGAGAGAGCAAAAAATGCACTGATGATTCAAACTAATACTGAAACTTCACAGAAGGTTTTTTTTTGAAGGAGCCTACCATATTATTGCATCTGAAAAAATAAAGCTCTGAAGAACATATTCAGTCAAGTAACTAATCGGACATAAAATACATGAAAATAAAAATTACTAGACATAACCTGGTTGTTTCATCTGGCCTCATCAACTATTTTTAAAAGCAAAATCTCACAGCGACACAAAATACATACTTATGAAAATAAAACAGCAGATTGAATGTTCAGCCTTTGAACAAAATGGAATAGTAATTTATTGTCACTTGCATTTTTACAAAAAATACAGTGAAAAGTGTTTAAGTTGCCATTGTCTGGCACCTATATTAATAACAGAAATCATACATTAAAAAATTAAGACAAAGTCCACCATTGTTCAATTCACAGCTCATGGGCCAGTGAGGCAGCGGCAGTGAGACAGCCCAAAGCGGGACGCTGGCAGCAGCATGGCATGGCTGGGAAGCCCTGAGTGGGACTGCAACAATAGAAAGGAAAGTTGGACTCAAGTTATTTTTTTCTTGTCTTATTCTAAGTTAATGTGAATGGTGCCATGTATGTACAGCGAAGGTACACACTTTTCACTGTATTTTTACATTGAATACATGCAACAATAAATAATTCAAAATCAATCAATCAATCAACTGGCAGACTGACTGGGGAGAGAAATTTTTAACATTCATGTTTGGGTTACAATTGGATGCCACTGATGACCTACCCTTGAAGAGGATTTCAAACATCTAATGTTAGAAACTGCATGAAATTTGGATTTTTAGTCAGAAAACTGACCAGCATTGAAAATATATAAAAATGACTGCTACAGTATATTGCCTGTATTAGTTTAGCACTGTTCTACTGCATTGAAGCTATGTATGCAAGTACTTTTATTTTGGGGAATACAATCCATCTGATATATTAGGCAAGAATTCTTTCACAGTTGACTGCAGTTTCTTTTAAATACATTTGCTGGAATGATCTAACTTTGAAGATTTCCTTTGCAGATGTCTTCTCTTACCACAAAACTTTCTAAACTGAGCTTAGACTTGGAAAAACAAATGAAACACATGGAATAAGCATCTTTGGTAGCAATGGGAACTTTGAATAAAATCATTAAAATGCTACAAAGAAAATTTATAATGACATCACAACACTGGATTGAGTTTATGTTCATGCTATTACCTAACATGAAGGGCTTGTGCCAAGGACACAAGTGTATCTCCAGCTATAACTCCAAAGCTATGTAGTCTAGGTGCGCAGTGTTCAGGGATGTGTAGATTAGGTGGTTACACGGAAAGGGTAGGGGGATGGGTCTAGGTGGGATGCTCTGCGTGTCGGTGTGGACTTAATGAGACTAAGGGCCTATTTCCACACTGTAGGGATTTTATGATTGCCGAGTAATCACTAAAATGTGAACCTTAAATTCTAAAACAATACAGCCAAACAAAGGAATGTGACAACTGTCATTAAACTTTCAGAAATCAGCAAAGTACATCTATGCATCAGTATAAGGAATAAAACTTGCGTTCGTCCAACAAAATTAGACTCAAAATATATCTCTAAAATGCTATGCCCTTTCTACACCAAATGCAGATTATGTAAGGTTGCCTTCCAAAAAAATCGCACCAACAGTCGAAATGATTGTTGCAAAATCTGCAGTTCCTGCATTGTTGCAAATTAAAACTTCGCTCGAGCAGCTTTCAAGAGAAACTGAATGTCATATAACAGCCAACATCGTGAAAGATTTCACGAGAAACATCATCCACAACAGCGAAGTTGTTATTCCCCACAATCGGAGAACAATTTATTTTTTTAAAAAAAGTTCAAGGTGGCAGTTAACTTGGGGAATTGTTGGAAAGGGCGGAATGTTCCGAGCACAGGAATGCAAATAGGTGTGGGGGATGGACGCGTAAGCGCGCAGAAGATGGGAAAGAAATGAGCGTATCTAACAAGAGAGTGCAAAAGGCCGCTAACAATTAGGGAGGGGTCAACGAACATCTGAGGGCGACCGAAGTTTTGCTGGACGAACGCGAGGTACGAAATGGGTTAAGCGTAGAGAAGACAGCAGAACTTTAACGTTAAGGGAGGGAGGGAAAAGTGAAAGAAAGAAGGCCTGAAGATTGCCACTCACTGGGGCAGTTTGGGGCTCTCTTTTTGCACAAACCCGGAAGTCGCTCCGGTCCGGACGGGGGTGACGTCAGCGCGTCGGCCCCCGGGCCGTTTGAATGGAGCAGCGGCAGCGCCCGGCGCCGGTGGGAGGCGATTGCCACCGCCGCCGCCGCCAACACCCCTCCTCCAGCACACACAAATAACACCCCCCCAACCCCAGACAAACCAACATCTCTCAGCTCCTCCCACTTACAACTACGCGCCATCATTCATCTATCCCGCCCGCCTTCTGCGGCACCGACTTTAAATTCACGGAACCGAAGGGCGGGGGAGGGAGGAGAGCTCCAACAAACTCAAATCCCATACACAGTCAGAGAGAAAAAAATAAAATGGCGTCCGACAAAACAAGGAGCAAGAAAGGTACTGGCGGCTTCCCCGCCCCTCCTCCTCCTCCACTAATCCCACTCATGTTAACAACTCACTATCCGCCGGCATTTAAAGGGCAAAACTTACCGCCTATTGCCTCTGTTTTTTTTTGAAAAAATTATTATTTCGCCCGCAACCCCCCCCCACCGCCGCTACTCCGCTTCTCTCCCGTTTGGGGTTGTGTTGTGCGTATGTGTACGGCCGTGTGTTTGTCAGCGGACTGGACTGACGCGCCCTCTCCGTGCAGGCCCCGGCTCCGCTTTCCTCGAGGCCGTTCATCAAACGGACGGACCGACCACGCTCTCCAGACGCTGCTCCTGGGCGAATGAAAACACGGCGCCCTCGAGGCCCGCGCGCAGCCGCCTCCTCCTGCTCGCGTTCCACCGCCAACTGTCACCGAACGTGCGAACATTCGACAGGTCCCGTCCCCTCCCCCCCCACCAACCCCAACGATGATTTTTTTTCTCTCTCTTCCTCCTCCCTTCCCCCACTCTAGTCACCCTCGCTTCTCTGCTCCTTTCCGCTTCTGCAACAACAATGCACCGTTTCGCTGACGCACGACGTCACAGTTGGGGGGGCGGGGCTCCACGTTTCTCGCCGGCCGGTCGCCGTTCTGCCGGTCAAAACGGCTCACCGGCGTCTCCGCCAATCAGCGTGCGGCGCGGACTGGACGAGCAGCTTGCCGCCCCACCCCCAGCGAGTGGTCCGCGCGGTTAACCTTGTGTTTCAGAGGGGAAACCCCGTGGCTTGGTGGACTCCGAAGAGGAGGGAGGTTGGGGCAAAGAAGAGAATCTCCACTTTCTTAAAGCTTCTTCCATCTGAAACGGTGGCCTTCCTCTTTGGAGGATGAGGCCTGGTTGAAGTGTAATGTGCTCGCCTCTGTGAACTTGAAACACAGAGGTTCTGTTAAAATTCAGCGGGTTGGTCAGCTCAGTTTTGAGATGCAGACTGATGGCAACAGTGTGAGTTCAATTCCCTGGATAGTTTTTCTAATCAACCTGTTCAGAGATGTTATTGACATACCTCTGCAGCAGGTGGAATTTGAATCTAAGTCTCCTAGGTCGTAACACCAATACACCACAAGAGCCCGCCTGGAAGGATTCTCCTTCTCAACCTCTTCCCCCTGGCCTGATGTGTGGGTGACTTCTGTCGTCCCTCTAATGAAAGAGCAACACTACGGGTCTGGTAGGACTACGGCGAGGTTACTCCCTTTTATGAAATAGATCTGTATTTTTATGTTAAATTATAGCCTTTATAACCCACTGACTTTAGATTCCAAGGGAAGGGACATTGCACCCACCAACAGCACTATCAGGTTGAAGGTTTTGGGAGCATAGCTCAGCCTGTGGATAAAGAGTCTTGGAGAGGGATGAAATTGCTCATCTCTTGGTTGTGAACAACATAGAGATGGAGAGGGGGGAAACTGTATCGCTGAGTTGAGGGAAAAGAAAATCAACATCAGCAAAATCCTTCCCATCGTTGTCGTTCCCACCTTAATAAACGAAGTTCTGGAGAAACGCAGCAGGTCTGGCAGCATCTGTGGATAAAGAAACAGTTAATGTTGGAGTCCAGTATGAATCTTCAAAACAATTTATTTGATTTGGGATAGCTGGCTAGGGTCAATTGGGTAAAAAGTTTAGAAGGTAAATTGACAGTGCAAAAATATCTTGAAACTACATTCTGTTGAAAACAAGAACTCAGCAAGCAAGACCCATCTGTGCCTTCAACAGGAAATTATTGGGTAAAGCAAAGAGATTTCTAATGTTGTAAAGAACAACAATTGTTCCAGTAATGTATGTTTTTTTGTTTGTGTGAGAGCAAATCTGACAATTAGGAGTGTTTTGGAAATGAGCAAAGGGTCACCAAATAGTTAATATGTGGAAAAGTAAACTAGCTAGAAATATAAAGCATGTTATAAAAGCTTTCATAAATCTATAACATGATGTGGAGATGCTGGTCTTGGACTGGGTGGACAAATTCAGAAGTCACAACACCAGGTTATAGTCCCAGAGATAGTAGGAACTGCAGATGCTGCAGAATCTGAGATAACAAGGTGTAGAGCTGGATGAACACAGCAGGCCAAGTAGCATCCCTCTGATGCTGCTTGGCCTGCTGTGTTCATCCAGCTCTGCACCTTGTTAGACCAGGTTATAGTCCAACAGGTTTATTTAAAATCATGAGCTTTTGGAGCACTGCTGCTTTGTCAGATGAAGTCCTGAAGTGACACTACAGGTAATGAAGGAACAGCACTCCAAAATCTCATGATTTGAAATGAACGTGTTGGACTATAACCTGGTGTCATGTGAAATCTACAATAAGGATGAGAATGACTAAACACTGGCTCGTTAGAAACTGAAAATTTGAATATCACATATATTGAACCTGCTCTCTCCAGGAGATTTAGTTTTCATGAAAATAGATCAAGTCTGATTCACAATGATAAGAAAAAGCCTTTTAAAAATTGGACCCTATTATTTCCCATGATTTTCTGAGAGATTATGTACAGTGAATATAGCAGTGACTGATTTCCATTTCAGTGGCTCCAAGACAAAAAATATAGACATACACAAAGTAACATGCTTTTTGTTCCTGTGGGAGAAATCATACTGTCTCAGATTTAGACAAATGATATGTACTAAACCTTTATAATACTAAGAATATTGTAAAGTTAACTGCAGTATACTGCAGAGTGGACACGAACAGAGCCATAAATTAGTAGTCGTAGAGGTCAGAAGTATGAACTAGATATTGTAATATGCCAAGTAGTCTTTATAGAAAAAATTTACCTTTATTTATGCACATCTTAGGCACATTTGATGGTGGCTTTAGAGTTGCATATGAAGTTTAAATCCATGTTCCTATACATCAAATTACTAGGAATAACAATACCTTGGTTTAGAATTTATCCAGTACTAAAATAAGACTTTTCCAAACTCCAGTTTTTGAAAATTTAAAAATAGAAGAATACAATAAATAAGGAATATCTGACTTCAAATAGGAATAAGTTGTCAGAGGTTGAGGCCAGATTTTGCAAACTGGATTTATGCTCCAGTTTCTTCTAGTTTTGGTCTTAGATTTAACAACCTTTATGAATAAATGAGAGGATCAAGATGGTCCCTTTTACTTAGTCCTAAAGGACTACGTTAAAAGTTCCTGTCACTTCAGATAGCTATACTGAACATTTTTATTGCTTTAATATTATCTAATACACTAAGTGATTGTAAACAAATCAAACTATTAAATGCAAAACTATTTGTATTAGAGCAATGAATAACTATCATGAAGTTATGTTGTGTAGTAAATGCTGATACTTAGAAAGACAGGTAAAGGAGTAGAATTTTAGTGTATCATCTTGTAATTTCTGCCCAATCAATAGATGGAAAAATAGGGACTGGCAAAAATAGCAGATTTCTTACCATGTTATTTAAATGTAAAACTAAGGAAGATATGAGACAGATCTTAAAATAAGGAAGGAAACTGGAAATTGAGTAAAACCAGAAGTAAATGAACAAGTTAGAATACTTCATGTTAAACAGCAAAATCCTGTCAATTTTGTTTTATTTCATAAGCATTCACTCAGCACAGCAAATTCACATTTTGTTCAAGCACTCAAAGCAGATAGATTCTTGAATAAATGAGAACTAGCAGCATGTTGTCTGCAAGTCTTATTAAAGAATGTTGGAAAGGTTGGCAAATTGTCAACCTTTTCTCATATTGTCATGATGGGTGTATATTTTTTCTAATATAACTAATTTTGTCTCCATTTTAATAAAAAGTGGAGGTAGTTGAGATAAGTTAAATCCAATCCCGTTAAAACCAGAAATATTAAACATTATTCTATGAGTGTTCCTACACTGTGATATATAAATTGGGTTCATTTCCATTAGGTAATGAGTATATGCAATACTTCCAACATTTCCTGGTTTAAGATCTTCCCTCTTATCATACCTGTATATCAAAAGGAAGGAAAATGAAAATGATGAATCTTTTCACACTAAAACACTAGTTAACACATTTAAGCTACATTTCTTGAATTTCCTTAACAGTGAAAGATGGAAATTTAAGATCTTTTAGTTGTGGACAACATTTCTCTTCCTAGTAAAGTCACTTGTATCCTATTTATAAGTGGCTGTCATAGAATTCTTACATATTCTCAAACATCACAGATTCTGTTCTGTTCATTTTTCAGAGGTACTTAAATGTGTTAAATATTCATATCATTCCATTTACAACTTACATTCTGAATAACTTTTAGCTCCAACACAGGTGGTAAACAGGCAGTCATGGATCACCCGGATGCACAGTCACTCAATTTTCCCTTTCTATTTGCTTCAAATTGGATTGAGTGAACAACAGGTGGCCTTTCCAAACAACAATTTATAGACTTCCCAAAGGTGAAAATTGGCTCATTGAATCTTAAAGCAGAAATGGAGCCTACTTGACCTCCTTCACTTGTGCCAGATCATAGTCCCATTATTCATATACTTTCTTTCAGAATTAATCTATTACCCTTAAAAAGTTATGAATTTTGCTTATATTCACAATTTATAAAAACAAATTATTTAACTTCTTCCTTTATTCTGTGTGAAAAAATGTGATTCCTGACTTCATTCAATTACTTAACTCGAATTTTAAAGACGTCATTTTGTTCTGATTCATCTCACTGGTGAAAGTTATTTCTCTGTATCCTTTCTTTTATTATTTCCTATTCCTAGATTATAATCTCCCCTTGAGATTCTAAATTTGAGGAAATAAAAGTCAAGTTCGTACAACCTATATTCATAATTTAGTTCTTTCATATCCAATATCATGCTGGTAATTCTGTGCTGTATTTCATCCAAACACAGTTACTCTTACCTGAAAAGTGGCATCTAATAATATTCTGACCAAGTACAACTTCAGCATAACTTCCCTCCTGCATTCCAGTCCCTTTGATATAAATAGCTAATATTCTATTTTGGTTACTTTTTGTACCAATGCAAAGCTTTTCCCTGAGCTGTGCAAATGAACACCCATATAAATTCCTTTACTCCTCTACCCATCATAGTCTTCTCTACATTAATAAATATTTCCATTTGTCTTGTTTAAGTTCAAATGGATGACCTCACACTTCTCCACATTGATATCCGTTGGCTCGTATCTTTGTAACCTCCTACTCTCATCGACACAACTTACTCTATCTCAAATGCAGTCTCAGTGACAAAAACCTCTCTCCCAACTATAGTATTTCAGTTTCTCCTCTTTCTTTTCATATAGTCTTAAACCAAAACTAACTTCAACAGTATTATGAGGCATTATCAACAGGAAACCCAGGGCTTTTTCTTCATTAGAGATTAAATAAATTTCCCAAGGCCACTGAATCTCTACATTTGAGCGTAAATGTCAAAACAGTTTACAAGATTAGAAGGAATGATTATCGTTTTTAATTTTCCACTTTTCTTGGCAGTGTCAATCTTCTTCCCTCTTTGGATTCGGAGTTTCTTTGGCAATTTTATATGGCTGACAGTCCAGTTCTCAAATATTACCACTTCCATAGGAAATGATTTATGCTGGTGTGTGGTTTAGGTGTTGTTTTGACCTGGCACGTGTTGTATATGCTCATACAGGCCTAGCTAAAGGAGT